TCAATTTCTGAAATGAATATATATATATATATGTATATAGAGATAATATATCAGTTGAAACGCAACAATCTTCTTATAACATAGATAATATAGATACTTAATTACAATACAGGGTGTCTCAAAAAAACTGTGCAATTTTTGTTCAATTTTTACGATCAAGGTGCCATTCGAAATCTCTATATTTCAGTTATTTCATGATGTAAAATTTTTTCTTCTAGACCTCATACTTTTTTGTTACAACCATTTATTTGAGCGTAAGTCGAAAATAGATTTCCTGGATTTTTCTATTTTTCGATTTTTCACGTCTTATATTAATTCGTTCATAATGCATGTTTAAATAATGATATTGATTTTTGAAAAAATTTACCACCGAGGTTATTATCCTCCGATTTGATAAGGTGTCATTTTAGGAGGTCAAATTATATTAATAGCACACAAACATCGTCACGGGTGTCTAATCAGGGGTAAACACCCTGTATATAGATAATATAGATACTTAATTATAGCCATGGGTCATATAATGAACAGTGAAACCCTTAATAACGAATACATTGAAAGAATTCATCAAATCTCGTATTCTTCACTTTCTGATAATGGAATGTTGCAGATATTTAGTTTTTTAATTAAATGATTATATGGAGGTCTTTAAAACTGTTCCCGCATATTCATGGCTATTTATTTATTTTTAATGTGTATTGTGTATGTATTGCCGCGCGATAAAAACACTTATCTTAATAAATTTATGCATTTCTGTTGCAGATTTTTTTAACTTTCTGATTTGTTTTTTTCATATATTCCTGTTTCGACCAGACGCGAACTTTCAAATTCTTTTTCAAATAAAGCAGAGTGTTGAAATTGTTTTCATGCACACTGATACGTATGAAACCTAAATGTAACGTAGATAAGAAATGTTATGGAATATTCCATAGGTGGGTATACTTTTATACACAAAGGCCTCTTTTTGAAGTTAAATTCAAAATTGGGAAATATTGTAAAAGTTTCAATCTTAAAAGGACTTTAAGTGTGATTTCTAAAGACTTTCCATGAAAAGATGCCAATATGCCCGTTCCAATGATGCTATCTCTTACACATTTATCTCTTTAATAATGTGAGAGATATTGTTGCTTTTCTAGGTTTAAAAGTATTTAGTTCTGCTAATTCCCATTTGGTTTCTCGCAGTTGATTTTATAGAGAAACTGCACAATTGAAAGTAATCCGAATTCAAAATTATAAAAATTGATACTTATTTCAAACTTGAAAAGCTTTAAAGGACATATAACCATTGTTGCATAGAGGATTACTTGAAATTACGCTTGCAGGTCCTGTAATAAAATCTATAATTTCTTGCATTTAACTATCTTTTTGTTTATGTAGATCTTTAGATAGATAAATTATTAAAGATAGTTTTCAGAGTTTTGTGGGTTAAACATTCCTAGAATGTTTATACTATATAATATATTGTATATAATATATACTATGTAGTATATATACTATTTAGTATATATGTATATAAACCAGCAAACTGCTTTCCTCAGTTTTCATTTTAAAATGAATTAGTAAACAAGTGGGTTTTAGTAAAGGTGGTACATTACTGGTTTAATTTACCCGATTGGAAGCAAGATGTATAATTGGTCCGTTCATGAACTTTAGTTAAAGGGATTGTAGGCGTAATTTCAAGGGGCCCTCCATACATCACTACAGGGATGTACGATTTACAACAGCACCCTTTAAATATTTATCTATACAATTGGAAAGATGTATATCGACATTTGTTCATCTTTAAATGGGTTTAATTCTGTAAATTACATACTTTTGCATGACATACAATCCTCAATAAGAGGCTATTTTCAGCATTTGTGCTATTTTGTGTTGTGTTGTGAATATGTTGTGCTCATTTTTAAAAGTTTTGCCACTTAAAACTTCATGGACAGTCCCTTTAATCTGTTATTTACAGAGGTAGGCGATTTTATTAAGAAGATAAAGACGACTTTCTGTCTCAATTTTGATTTATGTCAAACTGTTAACAGCATGGATACGCGTAAACATAGAAGTCAAGAGAAGCTGTAAATAAAAAAAATCTTCTTTCTTTTTGATTATTTGTAAACTTGTAATTCAAAAAAGCTTGCTGACAATAAAAAAGTCGTCTTCGTTGTATTGATATAATCACCTAACGTTTACAAATCAAGTGTAGTGTACTTCAACTGGGAGGAATGTAAACAATACAGAGACTGCAGTACATTTTTATCTAATAATTCCTTCATACATCTTCCTTGATGGGGTTAAATATTTATCAAAGAACAACATGGACAGCTTAGATCGGAATTCTTAATTGTTAACCCCAGCTAGAAGTCACTAGATAGTAGATAGTCTATAAACATCTGACATTTTGCATGAGACAATTTATCGACACTACGGAGGTAGATGTTTGTGAAAAAGGGTAATTTTACTGAAGGAATCGGGAGTTTTAAAAACAAGTTTTAGTTCTCGATTTTATTGTGAAAGTAAAGATGAAAAACCTATAGAGTAAGAAGGACACGGTTCTGAACTAACCTTAAATGAAAAATTCTCAATGAAGAAGAAAAACTATTTAACCCTATAAAGGCTGGGGGGGTCTGAATCTATGTATAGCCTGGTGGGAGAAGCGTTTGTCGCTCCCCCCTAGAAAAAGGCCTTAGATAATAGGTGTAGAGGTTAAATGCATGTTCATAGCTCAATTTTTAAAGGCCAGCTCATTAAAAATATTAAATCGATAACTTTTATAGTTTGGGTGCTAGGGAGGGTTGAAAAATGCCAAAAACAAGGTAAAAAAAATGTTAAAAATATTTTTTGTTTTGTTTAAAACAAATGTCAAAGTATGACACATGTTTTTACATTAATTTTTCAAGGGCTTTTCAAAAATATAGTTTTTTGATCTGCAGCTTTAGTCATAAAATAGTAATGAGCTATTTTAGATTTTTTTCACAAACCCTGTACCCTACCCTATGCATAAAACAATTTGCAAAATTAATCCTTTAAATTTTTACTTATTAAAAGTCAAAAAATTTCATGGTGATAGTGTCAAAAATAAGAGTGTTAGGGAAAAAATTCCCCCCCCCCAGTCTGTTTAGGGTTAAAAGAAAGAAACTGAAACCACTATTTTACAATTGCTAATAATTTGTGATTGTATTTGATTTTTAAACTCTAATCAATTTCTGAAATGAATAAATATAAGTAATCTAACTTGTCACAAACATAGATTAAATTGAGAGTTTACGTACTGGGTGCCCCATAACATATCATCCACTAAATCCATAGCAATATCTTCAGTAAAATGAAAATATCAGGGCAATATCACTTTTGTTGAAAACCTGAATTATTCAGATATAAAAATTTCATTTAAAAAAAAATTATATCAAATAAAATTGTGGATGCAAGTGCAACAGAGTCATATCGTAAGGTTTCGTAATCATTTAACAATATATGTAAAATATTTAGCTTTTTATATTTGAGAGTCCTTCTGTGGGACCGAATATAATAAATAACGAGAAGTAGTTGAACTACACAGTTTAACTACATTGACATATAATACAAACATTGTCTTTTACCTTTTAGTTACTGTTTCTAGGAAATAGATTCTTTAAATTTTTCAAATGAGAAACACAATTAAAAGTTTGAATAGAAGATGGGCGCGAAGCGCCCTAAAAACTTGAAAAGAGTGTATTTTACAAGCAAAGGCTGAAAACATTATTTGTGTGCAGAACAAATTTACTGCAACTGACGATTAAAATAAGAATAAAATATATAATTTTAAAACTATACATTTATAACATCTTTAGATAAATAAGTTTACACCACTGTTAACTTTTATTACAATCCCTTTAAGCAAATAAGTTTACACCACTGTTCAACACCGAACCTATATCTTTGAATTATAATTCATTTCAAGAAGTTCCCCAAAAATTACACTTTTAGAATCATTTAAATGAAAAGTTTAGTTTTTTTTCTAAAAAAGTGAAACGTGGATGTTTATTTTGTGAAAAATATAAATCCGTACATTTTTACTTTAAATGCTTTCAGGGTGTTTTAAATCACAGTTAGAGTATCAGTTTTACCATTTAAATATTGCTTTCCATGCCACAATTCATTTTACGTAAATTTTGCTGTAAACATTAAGGAATTTCGAAAAACCGCCCCCCCAAAAAACTTATGTGGGATTGTCTTACAATTTTGGGCCCGATCTATTCAGCCGTTTTGACGTTATTAAATTGGATACAAACAAATAAACAAACAAACACAACACCAAAACAGACATGATAAGCATATAGAGTACTTGGTTTATCAGAAGTATGAATGGCTTGAATATTAAATCATAAATATGCTAGAAAATATTTTTTGACAGTTGTTTTGCGAACACGAACATCTTGACCGTCGTAGTTCATAGTTCATCTCAGTAGTCAGTTTACTGAGATTAGAGAAATAAATAAATAAATTTCTATAATAATAAATTTTCACAATTCAAAAACAATTTTTTTTCTCTCCTGGGCCATGAATCATGAAATTATGTTCCAAATAAATATTTCGAAATTATCGGTTCGGGCGATAACGTGACCTTTAAATAATCCTGATTAAACTTAAAAAAATTAAAAGGTATTTTTTTTTGATTTCCATGCAATGGATTGTTCTTAAAGTACAGTCTTATAGAACTTGGTTAATCGAGTATCTTTAAACCACTGGGATAGTGTATTGTGGAGGCCGGTGACAGAGAGAGAGGGGGGAGAGGGGGAGGGCTGGAGGCCAGGTGTGTACTGGACACTAAGGTACCCCTCCCCCCCCCCCCAACAGGAGGAGGAGGGGAATGAAGAGAACAAGATAAGAATGAGAAGTTGTATATATTGTGATTTACTAACAATATAAAGATAAAGGAAAAGAAAGAATAGTAAATGAAAAAAATGGAAAATGTGATGATCGAAATAAAATTGATCATTTCAACAAACCATAGAAAAATAAAAATAAAACAAAGACACGAAAATTTGTATTTTTTGAACAATGTGTTTATGAGTTATTTTTATCTATATAATTAAGTGGTAAGATAGTTAATAATTTCAAATGTTCACCTTTTTTCTTCTTTCTCCATCTGCATGTCCACAGTAATTCTCTTTTTCTTGCCTCCCTTTGCCAGTTCATTTATGGCAATGCTTATGAAAGAATTTCATCTTCTGCTGCTTTGGTTACTCTATAGTTAACTCGCCGTTTACCCGCACTTGGTCGATTTTATCGCTTTCAAAGTCTATCCACTCAAATTAGAATCTCAAAACTCAACTTAGAAAATTTTCATGGTTTTTCCGAGTTCCCAAACGAAATTAGAGGCAAATCGGTCCAGGCGTCTCTGAGTTATGATATGACAACAAACAAACAGACAGACAAAAAAGATTTCAACTTTAAATATTAAGAATATATATATAAAACAATAACAAAAAAGTTCTTAAAACATTTTTACATTCTAATTTTTTTGAAGGCTTGAAATTTTGATCATCCAAACACATCCTTCTCTGGGGTCATGCGAGGTCTCACACAAAATTTGACCCGTTCGGTTCAGCCGTTTGGATGTTAATTGGTCACATACAAACAGACAGACAAACAAAGTATATATGGTATAGAAGGTTTTAGAAGGTTAATAAAGTTTTTTTTTAATAAAATGTGCAAATTCAGAATAAAAAGATGACAAGAATAAAAACCGAGGCAAGATAAAACGTAAAAGAAAAGAAACTGCAGACAGACAGAATCTAATTTTATCTTGTAATTATTTATTCATTAATAAATCCTCTCTCAAAGCGCAATTTTTTTGCCCCCCCCCCCTCATCCGAAGTTTTTTCTTTGTAGTCCATGCAAGTAGGGTTTTCAAATTTTCGTTCAATCTCTTTTGCGAAAATTTCTCTCAGGCAACGAAAAAGTCAACGAAAATTTTCGTTAAAGAATTTTCACGAAATTCGTGAAACTCGTTTGAAATTTTGATAAACATTTTCTACCATCCATTCAAAATCGTATTTTTTTTCGCAAAACTTTTCCACAACCAATTTTCGCGAAATTTTACTAACATTTCAATAAAATGTTAAGGACTTTCGAATTTTTGTTAAAACTTTTCGTTAAAGAACTGTTTGATTACACATAGCAGTCATTGCAGAAATATTCAAATAAAATATTTCACTCAGAGATTATTTATCAAAGATTCAAATCAAATTCGTCTGCATATTAAATAAATTTTTATGTTTTTAACAAGAATTCATGAACTGCAGTCATACTATATATTACAGTATTACTCACAAAGGATAAAAATGCAGTCAGAATTTTTTGGGTCTTTGTTTATTAGTTGAATGTTCCTTGCAGCTTTAAGCTTAGTTTTTCTTCGCCAAATCATTGAATATACCATTCACAAACTATTTTTATATAGTTAACCCTATCCTGACTGGGCTATATATTTGTCTAACAAAAGCTGTTTGGGAGGGGGGTGTACCGGTCCCCCCTTATGATTTTGCCCTTACGAATTGAGATAGGGGAGTGTGATTGATGTCCTTAGTCCAACTTTTCAAGGCCTACTCATTAAAAAAACAAGACCTCTAACTGTTTTGGTCTTAGGGTGCAAGGGAGGATTTTAATTAAGTTCAAAAAGTATGTCGGAAAAATGTTTAAAAATAATCATTTTTAATTTTTAAAAATATTAACATATGACACATATTATTACATTTTTCAAGGGCTTTTCAAATATATGAATTTTTTCCCTGTAGCTTAATTAATAAAAAAGTATTTCATTTCTGATTTGTTTGAAACACCCTCCCCCACCCTACCCTATGCATTCAAAAATAAAAATGTTGCCAAAAGGAATTGAGTCTTTGTAACAAAATCAAATATTTAAACCCCAATATCTTTAGTACCCGATGTTGTAAACCTTTGATATTTCAAACTCTGATTATTTGATTTAACAGAATTCATAGTTTGAAATATCTAAGGTCTGTAACATTTCGTTCCAAAGATATAGTGATTAGAAAATCAGAGTTTGTGGCAAAGATTCAATTCCTTTGTTCACAATTATGATGTTGAAAAAGTGAAGAAGATTTATCGTTTTAATGCTAGCCGTTTTAAAATTGATTAGAAAAAAACAGGGGGTGGAAAACACCCCCCCCCCCCCGCCATTATAGGGTTAAAGATTTTCAAGTTGTCATTAAAGTCTCATCATTTGTGCGTAACCCTGTATATTCAAGATTCAATACTAAACACAACAGGAGACCCTTACTAGATGTGAAAAAAGAAATGCAAAAAATCACCGATAAACAATTTATTTTATTAATTTTCATACATACTATTTTTAAACTAATATAAAAAGAAAAAAAATTCTATTTTTATCAAACGAAAATTGAACGAAAATGGACGAAATTTTCACGAAAATTAGTTCAAAATTCGTTCAGATTCGTTCGTTCATTTTTGCGAATTTCGTTCCACGAAAATTTCGAATGTATACCCTAAGCCCACTGAAGTCTGTATTCAAGTAATATATGTTTACAATATAATTATTATTATCTCTCTGATAGTTGTATTTTACGCTTTTTCTCCTCCCTCCCCCCCTCCCTCCCTATGTAGTCTCATGTTTACCCTCCCCCCTTCAAGGGGGTTGCATTTGCAAGAAGACTTGTCCCCCCGCTTGCATAAGGCATATAGCTATAATTGTTTGCATGAAGTAACTGTTTCAGAGAATTGATAAGGGCGTCTTATGCGAAATAGAGAAAATATTAAGGCTGAAGCCAGGGGGAGCCCTCCCCTGAGATGCACAGGGGGGGGGCATAAAGACTCCTGCCCCTCCTTATTACGCTACTGAGATAGATCGATATTCGATATAGATGTAAATGTTACCAAATAGGTTGACAACCTATTTGTATGTTACATAAATAAAGAAAGATAGATAGATACAGGTAAATTTCGAGGAATACAGGTAGAAATGATGATATAATAAGGAACCATCTACCTGATACTCCCTGCCCCCCCCCTACCTGCCTTCCTCCCACTCTATACTCACCCCCCATACCTGCCCAGGGCTCTGCCTTGTACCCCTCTTGTGGCCTGGAATCAAGGCAGTGGCTTGTAACCGGTTCTAGAGTAATCAAACATTTTGGTTAAAATTTATAAACACTGCATGTTTTATAAGAAACAAGTGCAAAAGGACTAACTACTGTAAACACCTAGAAATCCACGAAACTTACTAAATACAAATTGTACGTGATCGATATCAAGCGTCAAGATACATAACATTTTTCTTTTAAACCGCTATATCTCTCTGATCAGAAATTGCATATAATCATATTTAAAAACATGAAGTAAAACAAAAAACAAAAACGGGAGTTTAAAAAATATTTAAACATTTTTCTTTTAAAATATTTAATGCATTTTATCTATTGTTTGTCTGTTAATAAACATCAAACCGTTTGATTGTGTTTTCAATTATTATGAAAGTGATCTATTTTTTGGTCGATTGATTTGTGTGGTTTTAAAGCAGATCAAGAGCAGCGTGGTGGTTCAACTTTGTATTCAACAAAAACTAGAATACGTCAATTAATCTAATTTTAATCAAACAATGTACAACTTTCAGAGAATTCACACAACACTGTATAATGAGCCCAAATAATTAAGAAGATTTTAATAAACGAAAATTAGATTGCGGAGAGAATATTAAAATAAAAGATTAAAAATGTCTGAAACTGTCCCTGTTGTGTCTCTTCAACGAACTTTGAGGTAATTAAATAGGCTTAGGAATTGTTAACCTGTCTCAAACTCTAATTTTCTAATGTTTATTTCCTTGCAACTTTAGTTTAAACTAAATATCAAGGTTTACACCATCAAGTTGCAAAGAAAAAGAGATTAGATTATTTGAATTTGAGGTAAGTTCTTGGTTCCTCTCCAGTTTTTGAAGATTTTGAGTTGTTTTTCAAGATAATTAAGTTTTAAACAAGTTTTAAGATATACTGTCAATTGACCCAACCACCACCCAGACATACGCTGAACTTACTTGTAGAGAAATAAAGCATCACAAAAAGTATTCAAACTGCCTTTTAAAATCAGAAAATCAGAGGAAGTTCGGTATGGACCGGAGGAATAACAGTGTACGGTATTTCTGAATCATGACAACTTAAATAAACATGAACTTTTTCACCCAAGGGAGGAAATGAAACATTATTTCCTGGAAGCCAAATAACGTTAATGTTGGAAGTAACATAATAAAGAAATGGATGTTGTATATATTATTCACATTCATGTAAATACCAGGATTCTATAACAAATATCTTTATTTTGATTATGTGGAAATCTTTTTTTTTATTTTTAACTTATTGAAAACTGGCAGGGGGCCGGGTGGAGCCAATACACTAACTTTTTGAGTTCCTTTTTAGGATTTCAAAATATACTTTTTAAAAAATGTTCTAAGTGACAAGAAATATCTCCGAATTATTTAATATTTTCAGAAATAAATCGGAAAGGACTTTTGCTTAATATCTCACAGTAATCCAGAGTTTGCAAGCTCACGCGTAAAATCTTTAAAGTTCACCCGGTCTAGAAAGTTAATGCATAGTTTTCATAGTTCTCTGAATCTCTGAGCCCGAAATTTAACAGAGTTTCGATGAACGAAACTTCCAAGTTTCCTTTTTGGGGTTTTAACATTTCTGTAGATTTTGATTTAAGAGATTCTAAAAATGGAGACTATAAACAAACAAAATAAAATAATATTTCACAACAAAAATTTTGATATCCACAAAACTGTCTAACCACATTCGTGAAACCTGGGGTCTAAAACTGGTTCTAACAACGATACATTGTCTTAAGTTTTTGGCTCAGTGGTCTCAGGCCGAATTTAAAGATTTGAACCGAGTCGCAGAACTACTAAATCTCTCAAATCTCGAAACTCTTATTTAAATTTCCAGCTGAACCAACCTTGCTTGAACCAGGTCTGTTTAGGTTAAAAATCACTTATTTATATATTCATATAAACATGTTTTTTGTTTAGTTTGTTATTGATAGTATACGGTGTATGCATGCTGACCGCATTACTAGCTGGAGCTACTCTAGTTGCTCATGTTGACCCATTTTCAGGTAGCATTCATTTATTCATTTCATATTTTTTTCAGGTAGCATTCATTTACTCATTTCATACTTTATCAGTTTCATCCTACTATTCTTTCATCCTTTCAGTCTTGCATTCACTTATTCGTTTTATACTTTCGTTCTTTTAGTTTCATCCTTTTATTCTTTTACCTTTCATCCTTTCATTCTTTTATTCTTTTATACTCTCATTCTTTCATTCTTTTATTCTTTTATACTTTCATCCTATCATCCTTTCATCCTTTCATCCTTTCATCCTTTCATCTATTCATCCTTTCATTCTTTCATTCTCTCATTCTTTCATTCTTTTATTCTTTTATACTTTAATCCTTTCATTCTTTCATTCTCTCATTCTTTCATTCTTTTATTCTTTTATCCTTTCATTCTTTCATTCTCTCATTCTTTCATTCTTTTATTCTTTTATACTTTCATCCTTTCATCCTTTCATTCTTTCATCCTTTTATACTTTCATCCTTTCATCCTTTCATTCTTTCATCCTCTCATCCTTTCATTCTTTTATTCTTTTATACTTTCATCCTTTCATCCCTTCATTCTTTCATCCTTTAATTATTTCATCTGTTCAGCCTTCCTTCTTCATAATAGGAATTTTATCCGAATTCGTTAAAACCATTCCTTTATTTTCTCTTTTGTATTTCTTAAAATCCTTTCCCAATTTATTGTTGTTACAGACTTACTACTCTTACATTAATGAATGGCAAAGGTTGCAAACAATATGAAAAATAAAAACAATAAAGTCTAAGCAATTTAGCTCCAAAGTAGGTGATTATTCTTATTTTAGTATATTCCTAAAACTTAATATTTAAACATTGAAGTTTGAAATATCCAAGGTTTACATAACAAGGTCTCAAGGATATGTTGATTAGAAAATAATAGTCTAACGCAAGTATTTAATTTTTTTTTAAAGAAGAGTTTTGTTAAATCATTCTTAAATCAAAACATATTTTGAATATATATTTAACAAATTACATAGTGTTTGCCTTTACCCTTTCTCCCTAAACCCTTTGATCCTTCATCTATGACGCTTCATACGTTCATATATCATACTTTATCCTTTAACTTTGCCTTGCATTCTTAATAACTGCACCTTTCCTCTCCTATCCTTCATACTTTATCCCATTAACTTCACCTTGCATTCTTAATAACTGCACCTTTCATCTCCTATCCTTCATACTTTATCCCTTTGACTTTACCTTGCATTCTTAATAACTGCACCTTTCCTCTCCTATCCTTTATACTTTATCACTTTAACTTTACCTTGTATTCTTAATTACTGCACCTTTCATCTCCTATCCTTTATACTTTATCCTTAATTCCATAAATGACAATTCATCCTTACTTTTTTCATGCTTTTTACTAGATATTTTTCGCACAGAGTATTCCTTTACTTTAACCTTTGTTATTCACGTTCTCTACACTCTTTGTTATTCCCGTTCTCTACTTTTGTTATTCCCGTGTTCTTTACCATTGTTGTTTCCTTTTTCTATCTCTGATATTACCATTTGTATAACCACTAGGCTTTTAGGGAGCTTCGCGCCCATCTTTTATTTAAATTGTGAACATGTTCTTTTTGTTTACATTTTAAAACAAAAAAGAAAAAATTTTTGCTGATTTTTAAAAAAAAATTCGCGGATTTTCAAGAATTTAATTTTTTTTACAAAATTGAAAACCTTTTAAGCACATTTTTTTAAAATTTTTATCATTCATAAACCTTCCCTGTGGTCAAGTGATGTTCCACAAAAAATTTGGGCCCGATCGGTTCAGCCGTTTTGACGTTTATTAGATATAAACAAACAAACAAACAAACAGACAGACAAGCCAAATTTATATATAGATGTTATATATTCCTGATTTCAATCTGTTATCATGTAATCTACTACTATTTCAATATGTTTTGTTATAAATTCCTGATTTCAATCTGTTATCATGTTAAATATACATATTTTTAATCTGTTTTCATGTAATCTACTACTATTTCAATCTGTAAGGATGTTAAATATTCCTGATTTTAATCTGTTATCATGTTATATATTTCTGATTTTAATCTGTTATGATGTTATCTACTACTTTTTCAAAATGTTATCATGAAATCTTCTACTATTTTAATATGTTTTGTTATTTATTTAATCTGTAATCATGTTAAATATTCCTGATTTTAATCTGTAATCATATTATATATTCCTGATTTTATCTGTAATCATGTTATATAATCCTGATTTTAATCAGTTACGATGTTATCTACTGCCTTGTTTAGAATGCATTCTTTTCTCTACAGCGAGTGGGGAAGGACTTCACTATGGACATGAAGCAAGTAAGTAAAACTTATTTCTTTTTAAAAGAATGCTATTTTAACAACATTTATAAAGAATAAACAATAACTGTGCTTTTATTTCAGTTTGTGAGACAATTGCGTACCTGTACTTGGCTTGTATCATAGGGAGAAAACAGTTTCAAATTCACAATTTTAAATTATCAAAACGTTTAAAAACTAAATTTATAAAACATAAGATTTGTCAAGAACATTATCATAAAATATAAACTTTCTCAAATAATCAGGATCTGGAGTTATGTTCTATCTTACTTTCAAGCATAGGAGGGCTCTTATAGAGTTCTCAAAGTCAGGGTGAGAACAAGGACAGCAAAGAACAAGGACTTCATTGATCAAGGACAGAATAGAACAAGGATCTAATAGAACAAGGACAGAATAAAACAAGGACAGAATAGAACAAGGACAGAATAGAACAAGGACCGAATAGAACAAGGAAAGAATAGAACAGAAACGGAATAGAACAGGGACAGAATAGAACAAGGACAGAATAGAACAAGGACAGAAGAGAGCAAGAATCGAATAGAACAAGGACATAATAGAACAAGGACAGAATATAACAAGAACAGAATAGAACAAGGACAGAATAGAACAAGGATCGAATAGAACAAGGAAAGAATGGAACAAGGATCTAATAGAACAAGGACAAAATACAGCAAGGGTAGAATAAAACAAGGACAGAACAAGGACAGAACAGAACAGAACAGAACAGAACAGAGTAGAGCAGAACAGAACAGAACAGAACAGAACAGAACAGAACAGAACAGAACAGAACAGAACAGAACAGAACAGAACAGAAAAGAACAAAACAGAACAGAACAGAACATAACAGAACATAACAGAACAGAACAGAACAGAACAGAACAGAACAGAAAAGAAAAGAACAGAACAGAACAGAACATAACAGAACAGTACAGAACAGAACTCATTATAAGACAAAAAAGGACTAAAAAGAGTTATACAAAGACAATTAAAATCCCATAAATATTAAAAATAAAGCTGATTATTTTTCAGACAATACATGAAAGTTCATGATGACGTTATGAAATTGAAAAACAAGGTAAACTATTTGATTTAAATATTCACATTTTAATTTCGTATTTTCCTTTTTAGAATCTAAAACAATCTTGTTCTTTGAAATAAAGATGTTATAAAAGCAGAATTGATGGATTGTGTTTACAATCCAGGAAAATGTTTCCCTCTAAACATTCTACTCCCCATTTCTTTGTCACCTCTTGGTGTAACCTTTGACATTTTAAACTTAGATTATATGATCTGACATATTCCATAGTTTGAAATATCAATAGGTCTACAACGATAAAGGTATTTGAAAATAAGAGTTTGTGGAAATGGCTCAATTCCTTTAATCTTAGATTTGTAATCTATCTCTTTAACTATAAATCTGTTTAGTTTATCTGGTTGCACCTGAGTGGGACTAGTATGATAGTAATATTAACTGTTATACTAACTGCTGGCTACGGACTAGCCTGTAGTAACCTAGAGCATGTTGTAAAGTAAGAAAAAAAATTATAATTTAAATTACATTAAAGATCAAAATTTCATTACTCAAGGAAAGTTTGCTAGATTAAAGGGACTGTAAGCGCAATTTAAAGTGAACTTCCATTTAAAGAGAGACAACGGTACCCATAAAATCTTTCACAAATTATCGAGGACAGAGATATTAGTGCTTTTATCTCTTAAATGCTGTGTAAAATGCCGTAAGATTAGAGTGTACACTAGCGTAATGTGGGAACTCAACACTGTAAATGTAAATATTTATAAATATATTACATAAAAATACATTATTCTTTATCAGCCACAGGATTAAAGGGTACCGTTGTGGAAGCCCCTCTTTAAATGGAAGGTAGCTTGAAATTACGCGTACACTCCCTTAAAGTATGTCCATACTCCACTGTATCGTTATTCAGTATTCACTCATTCAAATTTTGAATCATTATAAAAAATCCATCAAACAAAGCATAATAATATACTTGCAATACTCTGAAAACATCCGCAGTTCGAAAAATAAAATAAAAATGACAAATATATGTTTACTGGCTGAAAACGGGGTTGAAAGTGAAGAACCTCTATCTATGAATGAACCTACACATGTGATTTATGTACTGTAAGACATATTTGATTTATCTATCCCTGAAAGAGTATTGCGTACAATGATTGGTTTTAGAATAATATGTTTACAGAAGGCAAAACAGAAAAAAAACATAAACAAGTAATTTGAGTGTCCAAAACTGTTGGATTCCATGTGTTTCTAGTTATTAGGTAACCATCACCACCAATTCTAATTTTCTAATCTTCGCAACCTGATGTTGGAGACCTTTAAAAAGCTGTGCGAAAGGTTACATCAAATAGTCTAAGTTTGAACTATCAAAGGTTTTCACAGGTTGCAAAGATGTAGGGACTGGAAAATTCGAGTTTGTGGCATGTAATCTGGTAATTTGGAGTTTAAATTAACTTGAACTGCATGTTTTCATACGTAGTAATTATGATGTTAATATCGAGTTTCTGTAACATTATATTTTCCAATCTCTGTCTTTCCTGATAGAAAATATATTTTTAAAACATTTTTTTAGTGGAGATTTGATGAACAAAATGGATTTGAAATCCGGACAACGAGAAAGACTTGATGAAAAGTAAGCATATATATCATTCTATCTGTAGTTGTTAAAGTGATTTTACATTTATAGAATAGTATGTCTCGTATATCAGTATCCTTTAAAGCTATGTGGGTTGTGATGTTGTGATTTTAAACTGAAATATAGAGAATCTAATTACCGAAAGGAAAGCAAATGTTAAACAGTTTTGTAATTTAATCATATCAAATCAGAATACATAAAACAGAATGAGCTATGAAATGGGATTGTTCAAAGATTTAGATAAAATAGAAGGAACTTATTTGTTTGGCCATGAATAATATACCTTGTATTTAATAAAGCTCTTCATTCCTATATTTCTATAGTTGTATATAAAGGGTGAGTCAAAAAAAATGTGATTTACGGCGCCTGGTACAAAAGTGTACCTTTTTTTGTGCAACTCTCTTGTATGAAAATTTTTCAATATTTTTTGAAATTTTTTTTGTTTCTTTGGTACTCCAATTGCCAAAAAAAACCGCGAACTTTTTTTTTCTCTCAAAATCAAAAGTTTAGAAAAGCAAAAATGTTTATATAAATTATTTCTATTGAAATCTAAAATTTTATACAGATTAAATCACAGAATCACAGAAAATTGGCAAAATTGTAACAAAGAAAATTCGCAATTTTCAGTCCTGTTCTAATTTAAAGGAAAAGTTGTTTTTCAATGGTTCTTCAAGTTTCAACAGCGTATATTTTTTAACTTTTGAATAAACTAAGAAGAAAGGAACTCGAGAATTCAAACTGTTCCTTAAAAATTAGACCAAAACTGAAAATTGCGAATTTTCTTTGTTACAATTTGGCCAATTTTCTGTGATTCTGTGATTCAATCTTTATAAAATTTTAGATTTCGATAGAAATAGTCAATATACACATTTTTGCTTTTCTAAACTTTTGCTTTTGAGAGAAAAAAAAGAGTTCGCGGATTTTTTTTTGGACCATTTTTTTTGACTCACCCTGTATGTTTTTCAAAAATCAATTTAAAATTGTTTTTAAAATTCCACGGGCAGCGCGGCTCAAACATGGTTGGTTCCATTTAAAATTGATTCAATGTTTCGAGATTTCAGTCGGTGCTCAATTGGAACCGGCTTTGGGCGGTTCAGCGACGCGGTTTAATTCTTTAAATTCGGCCTCCGCAGAAACCTTTTATAAATAACCAAATATCGTAAAGCAACTCCTTTAAATAAATGACATTTTGAAATTGTTTGAATTTTTAATCTTTTTGGGGTTAACCAGCTGTTATAATTGCTTAGTGTAATTGAATATGCCAGCGAAAACACAAAAATCTGTTTTTTTTAATAAACATGTTCACAATTATACAAATTGATAATTTGATAAATTTCAACTGCAATCTAAACCCTGCACAGAAATAGGAGAAACTTTCCCTAAATATATTTGGTTCGGTTTAGGCTAAAAACTTTTAAATCATTGTTTACATTTTAGATATGTATTTGATAACCAATTCTGGAGATATACTGGACAAATAAACAATGCTTATGGTACCGAGCAATTCTCCATCCGGATCACGTGTAGAACTATATTTACAGGTCAGTATTTAACATAAAAAACATGTTTCAAAGATTGTTACAGTGATTACAAGTACTCCCCAAATTAAAAAATTGCAAACCCAATTGACAAGGGTACCCGCTAACCCTTTATTTTAGAAACAATGAGGATCTCGTCGTTATTAAAACGTCTTAAATTCTTCAAATATGCTTCTTTCACTTTGCTGCAAAATTGTTAATTCTTTAGAGAAACCACAATAGTTGAAAATAATTAATTTTCTGAGAAAAACCAAAGAATATCTATTTTTTCGAAGGTTTAATTCAGACCTATTGCAACATTTAATTTGTGAATTTATTCTGACAAAGAAATTGAGTCTTTGCCACAAACTCTGAATTATAATTCCAATATCTTTGGAACCCAATGTCGTACATCTTTGATATTTCAACCTTATATTATTTAATCTAACAGAATTCATAGTTTGAAATATCTAAGGTCTACGACATTAGAATCCAAAGATATAGGGTTTAGAAAAGCAGAGACTCAATTCCTTTAAACGGGTTTAAAATCTAGCTCTAAATATTTTCATTTCAAGATGAAACTTGAAAGGAGTACTTATTATGATTTATTTGAATCATTTCTTCTCTGATGTCGTCTTCTTCACAGTCCCAGAGCTGTAACAGGAGATGCTTCAGACATTCGATATGATCTTCATGAATGGTTAGCGGCCCACATTCTTCAAAGATGGCTCTTGGCAGTCTATTTAGTATATCTAGAGAGAATTCGTCAGAGATATTAGCAATATTGCTTCCAAAATCGTACTACTGTAGAGAATATGCAAATATCGAATCAACTTGCCAAATCAGTGGAATCGTCTCAGTAAGAGAACTTTCACAGAGTTGAATTCTTTAGAATTTTTTCCCCAAATATGTTTGGACTATGGCAAGTTCCAGCATACTTTAGCTGTAGTAATCCCACCCTAAACTAAGCTTTCGGTGCGTTCTGTGGTAATTTGCAGTACACTGACCGAAGATGTAGTAGCGTTTAGTAGACAGTGTTCCAAGATCTGTAGGTTCGATATGACTCGCTGAAAAGGTTCCAAATATTGTTTCCATGAAAGGAACAACAATAAGTTTGCAGTAAAGATAACATTTGCAGTGGTGAGGAGAAATGGAAAATTCCCAATAATTCAGTAGATGATCAAACGTCTATATCTTGTGAACCTGATTCATGAATGCCATGACCAAGATGGTCAACTTGACTTACCCAGGGCAGCTTCTGATGATTAAGGACGACCTCCACCAGTTTTCTGTCATTGGCAAAGTACTTCTCGATTATTGTGTGAGAAAGTGCACATCGTGGTTTGCAATAATATGTTTCCTTAAAACTACAAACCTTTTATTAAAAACTGATGCACAATCTTAGTTTTATTTTCTTTTCCATACATTCTAATAATAGACATTTATTTTCAAATATATTTTCAGATCCAACTATTCATCAGAAGCTACATGAAACTCATGTACAGAAATATTCCTCCTATTACGGTTACTGGTACAAACAGGACTTATACGCTTTCAACCCACAGGTAATATTTATACTATTTGTACATAGAAATTGTACATGGGTTACCATGTACAAGGGATGAGACTTCGGAGACGATTGTACAGATCAATTTTCCAACTTATTTCTTTAATTGAAAATTTGTGGCAACTAAATATTTTTAATACTCCAATCATAACAATAGATTTTTAAATTCTGTCTGATCACGAATACGCATGAGATATTAATAAATTTCTCCTTGAAAATAGATTACTTTTCATTGTGGATTTTCTATAAATTGTAACTATGGAGAAAGTTAATCAAAATTAAATCTTTTGAAGGCATAAATTGTAACCTTTCCAATGATGTAAAAAACTCAATCTATTCTTTATATCTTGGCATCTAAAGATGTAAAGGTCGTTATTAAAGTATAATCCTACTAGCCTTAGAGGGCGCTTCGCGCCCATCTTCTAAATTAATTGTGAACATGTTCTCTTTGTGTACATAAATAAAAATAATTCGCGGATTTTCACAAAAAATGTCGTGGATTTTCAAAATTTTCAAAAATTTAATGAAGATCGAATTTTGATGGAGACAAATATTTAAAATTTCAATCATTCATACCCTCCCTGGGGTCCCTAGATGTCCCACAAAAAATTTGGGCCCGATCGGTTCAGCCGTTTTGACGTTTATTGGATACAAACAAACAAACAGACAAGCCAAATTTATATATAGATGAGGGTAAACAAAATAAGTATTACAATATACAATATATCTAAAGATGTAAAGGTCGTTATTAAAGTATAATCCTATGAGGGTACAAAATAAGTATTACAATATACATTACACAATTTAAAGAATCTTGAAAATCAAGATTCTCAACAAATATTCATTCGAAATAAAATTAAATACAAATTTAAATTTATTCTAATATTTTGATATATCATTTGACATTTATCAAATCATGAGTTAAATTCGGTTAATAATCAGTAGTGTTAAGAGTAGAACTTACTGTTAAGAACCAAATTTAAGCAGGAACTTTTTAATGGACAGGGGTCGAATTTAATGAATTTGAGCTACGTCGCTTAACTAAAAACTGCCTGTTCAAATTTGAACCACCGATTCAAAGGTAAAGACGCTTAAAGGATTTATAAGCGGTAATTCAAATTTGAACCGGCAGTAGGCGTTCAGCAACCCCTCAAATTCATTAAATTCGGTCCCCTGATGAGTTTAACTCAAAAGTAAAAAAGGCTAAAATTATTGATTATTTAAAAATTGATTATTTAAATTTTAGACTCAAGCTGTGTTGACCAATGCCTTGGTAGAGGCTAGTATGGCGGGGGGCTGGCTTAGGTAGGAACAAATTAAATTCTTGAAACAGATTATTTTGAATGAACGGTCCCTTTGTTAAGTATACTGCTGTGGGTTGGATCCCTGGTGTTTATGTTGATCCAGAGATTTTACTTGAAGAAGGAGAAGAAGGAGATGGACAGGGTCTCCTTGTACGAGGGAACACTCAGGTCAGTCAGATACAGGGAAAATTAACCGAAAAAAAATAAAAATAAATAAAACATAAAACTTTTTATGCAAGTATAGAAATAGAAAATATTATGATGCTGATAATGATATTAATGATAATAATAGTAATAGTAATAACACCTAGAATAATATATAAAAATATTAATGAAAATAATAATAATGATAATAATGATACTATGATTAGGAAGGAGGAGATGAGTATGATATCAGGATCCTTCGGTGGACCTGAACCTAGGTTTCAACGAGGTGAGAATATATTAAACTGTTATAAACTAAAGCTCAAAGAATTGGTCAAAGCTTTTTAACATAATTACATATTAACTGGGTCTGTTCACAGCTTTAAATAATAATCTCAACTGATAAAATAAAAAATTTCAGTTTGAAAATAATAATCAATACCAAAGGTTTTCTCTTATATGGGTTTTTTGAAATTTTTTCAACAAAGTTCCAACAACAAAACTTAACATAATTCATAGTTATAAAAATATTCGTAGTTATTAAAGTTTAAATTTGGAGTTTTGTTTTGAAACATCATATCACTTTTTTGAGTCTGATATGATTAAATATCTACAGAAATATGGTTTAATTTTAAACATTTGTACTTTTTTAATAATAATAATTAGATAATAATATTATGTAGGAGAAGATTGCATGCTGAATTGATAATGTTAAATCATGACTTTTACTATTACTACATTTTGTAATGTTTTCAGAGTCAGATCTATAATACAATTTTCTTGTTACGTTTTTCATCAACAGAAAAAATGCTTTTAGATTTTCGTTAAAAAAAATATATTTCTTAAAATGTTTAACCAAGAATGGTGTTCAATTTCTGTAGACAATATGCTTATAATGTTGACATTTTCGAACATTTCATGACATTGGCATGATATTAATATCGTCGTCCTTTTAGTTATTTTTTATGTGATATATTAGTATCAAGATTTTTTTAATATTTACAAAATTTAAAATCCATAAATCACATAAATTTCATGGGATGATTTATTTCATGCACTGTACCGTATTTATGTACACCACAGCGTTCTATAGCTGCTTAAAAGTCGGCATGGTAAATACAATGTATCAGATCTGAGCTAACTTTGAGAGTAGTATAAATATTAAATAAAAAGACAAAAATGTTTAAATATGAATTATATGTTTTGATAAGTTATAATATGTTTCAATATGTTATGTATGTTTTTATATTTTATGATATGTTTTGATATTTTATTATATGTTTTTATATGTTTTAATATGTTTTGATATGTCATGATATGTTTTAATATATTATGATATGTTTTGATATTTTATGATATGTTTTGATATGTTGTTATATGTTTTGATATGTTATGATATGTTTTGATATGTTATGATATGTTAGGTGGATTGAGAGGATCCGGAGGTTCAATGAAATCTACAAGATCAAGAAAAGACATTGACGACATAGCATTTGGTATTCATGGTATACCCTCAACCCCCAGGTACTATTCATTATGTCTAGATATTTATATAAATTCGGTATTCATTGTACTATTCATTATGTCTAGATACTTATATATATGGTTAATTTTTTGTTATTTTTATATCTGGCTTGTCTGTTTGTGTGTGTGCTTTTATCCAAATTTGTAATTTTTTATGAAAATCCACCAATTAAAAACGAAAAGTCAACGAAATCTTATTTTGTTTTTGCTTTATATTATAAAATAAAAGTTAAAGTAACATTAAAATTTAAAATTATGCAGTGCCCTAAATAAAAAAATAAAGATATGAGAATGATATTATACTATTATGTTTAGATATGATCAAGGATATCCGTCCTATCCTATGGATGGTTCAAACCAAGGTTTCTCTCCTCAACCCCCTCATTCACCTACACCATACCTTCAACAGGCATTTCCCGTCCCCACCACCCCGGGGTACCCAGCCCCCTCAACCCCTGGGTATGCAGCCTACCCCGCCCAGTTTACTACATTACCTAGAACTTATGTACAGGCCGGTACACCAGAACCTATGTACAATGAACGTGAGCAGTTTGAGACAGAAATAATGTAAACATAAACTATTAAACGTACTCGATTGATATGATTCATATAAGTGAAACTCGTGAAGCAAGATTTATTCTCTGTTCGTATATTGTACATTTACGTGTACATTGTACAATATATAGATCTCAGGCTAACATAAGGGCTTGACAACTAGTGTTCAAATTCAATCTTAAAAACATATTTTAAAAGTGTTCTAGTGACTAAACACTTCCAATGCGTCCAGAGCTGGGAACTTTTGTGTTTGATACCCATAATGTCAAACATTTGATCTTGATATCCACAGCAGGACATTTTAATTTGGAAACCAAAGCTTGCCCTCTTCATTTCAGTTACTCTTGCTGGGTACAATTACCACTGGACATCGAATAAAGATTAAATCAATTTGCAAAATAACAAAGATCAAAATCAAACATTGATTTCGCTTTCCACACCACAAGAGCTCCCAGCTCAGATAAAACTGTAAACACAAAAAATAAACATCTTGTAGGAATAAAGGGATCATATTCAATAAATAGCGAGAAGTAGTTGAACCACGTGCCACCGGTTTAACCAGCTGTCGTGTGAAGATTTAGAGAAGTGATTTAATTTAGTCTACATCGTTCAACTACTTCTATTAATCATTAAATGTTTTCCCAGTTTACCCGTCTATTTGTTGATGTCTGTTTATCTGTTTACGTTCTTGGGATGAACGGGAAACATGTTTCGAAACCTATGCTCATTGTAAACATGTTTTACTTTAAAAAAAAAACTATACTCACAAACATAATTCAGATTTAGAATTTTTATATTTCTTATACTTTAGGTCGGCAATATTGCAGTAGTTGGTAGATATTTGACACTAGACTGATGAAAATGTTTCCATTTTTATCAAAACAAGACAAATTAAATTCTATCCTTTGTCTTATTCATGACAAAATCTATGTAATTTATCCAAAAAGTTCGTAAAATACTTTCCAGTGATGTTTATAGTCAAATTTGTATGTTTTATGTAAATTCTTCCTGAAATAAATATTAATTTAGTAAAAAAAGTGTTACTTGTTGTGTAAATTTTTTAACTTTTTAGATTACAATTTTAATTTTAATGATATTGTTTTAAAGATATATTTGTTATCTATGTTTAAATTAAAAGGTCAGTAAATAAGGCGGATTGGAAGGGGAACATCATTCGAGAGAGAAAAATAAAATGGGAAAATGTAAAGAAGAAAAGGATAAAGAGTAAGAAAATAATAGAATGGGAAACTGTAAAGAAGAAAAGGATAAAGAGTAAGAAAATAATAGAATAAGAAAATGTGAAGAAGAAAAGAATAAAGAGTAAGAAAATAATAGAATGGGAAAATGTAAAGAAGTAAAGGATAAAGAGTAAGAAAATAATAGAATGGGAAAATGTAAAGAAGTAAAGGATAAAGAGTAAGAGAATATTAGAATGCGAAAATGTAAAGAAGAAAAGGATAAAGAGTAAGAAAATAATAGAATAAGAAAATGTAAAGAAGAAAAGGATAAAGAGTAAGAGAATAATAGAATAAGAAAATGTGAAGAAGAAAAGGATAAAGAGTAAGAAAATAATAGAATAAGAAAATGTAAAGAAGAAAAGGATAAAGAGTAAGAAAATAATAGAATAAGAAAATGTAAAGAAGAAAAGGATAAAGAGTAAGAAAATAATAGAATAAGAAAATGTAAAGAAGAAAAGGATAAAGAGTNATAGTTTCAGCATAGTTTCAGCATAGTTTCAGCATAGTTTCAGCATAGTTTCAGCATAGTTTCAGTATAGTTTCAGCATAGTTTCAGCATAGTTTCAGCATAGTTTCAGCATAGTTGCAGCATAGTTTCAGCATAGTTGCAGCATTGTTTCAGCATAGTTGCAGCATAGTTTCAGCATAGTTTCATCATAGTTTCAGTATAGTTGCAGCATAGTTTCAGCATAGTTTTAGCATAGTTTCAGCATATTTTCAGCATAGTTTCAGCATAGTTTTTTTTTTTGATCGCTTTTTTAGAAGTAACTTCTGCCAGGGTCTGAATTTGACAAATGATTGGAATAAACAATTTATGTTACTTTTTTTTCTTACACTGTGATTTTGACTTTTCTTACACTGTGCTAAATTTTGTTTTTTCTTATCCTGTGCTAAATTTAGTTAATTTTACATCTATATAAATTTGGCTTGTCTGTCTGTTTGTCTATCTGTTTGTATCCAATAAACGTCAAAACGGCTGAACCGATCGGGCCCAAATTTTTTGTGGGACATCTAGGGACTCCAGGGAAGGTTTATGAATGATTGAAATTTTAAATATTTGTCTCCATCAAAATTCGATCTTCATTAAATTTTTTTAAATTTTGAAAATCCACGAATTTTTTTGTGAAAATCCGCGAATAATTTTTGTTTTGTTTTACGATGTACACAAAGAGAACATGTTCACAATTAATTTAGAAGATGGGCGCGAAGCGCCCTCTAAGGCTAGTTAAGTTAAATTTTGCTTTTTCTTACACTGAGCTAAATTTAGTTTTTTCTTATACTGTGCTAAATTTAGTTGATTTTTACACTGAGTTAAATTTTGTTTTTTCTTACACTGAGCTTAATTTTGTTTTTTTCTTGCACTGAGCTTAATTTTGTTTTTTCTTACACTAAGCCTAATTTGGTTTTTTCTTACACTGTGCTATTTTCTTTTCTTACACTGAGTTAAATTTTGTTTTTTCTTACACTGAGCTAAATTTAGTTTTTTCTTACACTGCGCTATTTTTTTTTCTTACACTGTGCTATTTTTTTTTCTTACACTGAGCTTAATTTAGTTTTGTCTTACACTGAGCTTAATTTTTTTTCTTACACTTAGCTAAATTTAGTTTCTTCTTACAGTGAGCTTAATTTTTTTTCTTACACTTAACTAAATTTAGTTTTATTCTTACACTGAGCTTAATTTTTTTTCTTACACTTAGCTAAATTTAGTTTCTTCTTACATTGAGCTTAATTTTTTTTCTTTCACTTGGCTAAATTTAGTTTTGTCTTACACTAAGCTTAATTTTTCTTTTTTACACTGCTAATTTTGACCCTGACAGCAAAGATAAACAAAAACGACCCACAAACAAACCTATTGAAGTTTACCAGCAACTTAAAAATAAACTAATTTAGTCAAATGGGTCTGTTTACACTGCACAATTTCTGTGTTTATGTTTATTGAACTATTTAGAATCATAACTTTTGTCTTAAAGTCGTCTTTTAAGTTTTATAAGCCTCACTGAGGTTGTCTGAAAGTTGGCCCTGTAGTTAAGTTTTCAGTGCAACATGGTTTATTGATGAAATCTGTTGTTGTTTGGTTTTGCGGCGATTATATCTTGTTTTCTTTTAAAGAGCCTAGCTGTCGATCTATAACTTTCAGAAATTACTCACAGGATCTTTTGGGAAAAGATACCATTTCTTATCTTCGGCATTTACAGCCACATTTTTTTAATTCTGTCCATGTTTTGCAATAAGAAATTACAAATGTACTGTTGAACATCGTATATGTCACTTTTTAATGAAAAGATCACTCAAACATTTAGTTTAAAATACCAAACAAACAAAAAACTGGATAAATGCGCAGTTTGTTGGTTTTGTCTTTTATAACTGCGCTATGTCGTGTTTTTAATAATATTCGAGGATTATAATTTTAAATTTCCTGAGGCTAATTCCTTGCTTCAACATCATGCACAGAATAACTAGTAATTACAGAAGAGTACCCATGAATTAGACCTACAGGTGTATAGTAAGAAAGTACAAGATATTTGAGATATAACAACATTCCCACGTAGGATATTGAAGGATAAGGAAGGTGGCACGATGGGAGGAAAATTTAAACTTTTGGAAATAGTTACAGTTACGTTAGTTGTCTTCATATCCTTAGGTATTATCAAATATCGCAATAATTAAAGTTCTACAGAGGTCGAATTTAAAGAATTTGAGCCGCGGCTAAAATATGGTTGGTTCCACTTAAATTTGTATTCAATTTTTCATGATTTAAGCCAGCGGTCAATTAAAACCGGTTTTGTGGGATTTGAGACGTGGCTAAAATTCATTAAAATCGGACACAGTTCTACTGTAAACGAGATCATAAAAAAAAATATTTGAACAGTACACTACAAAAATGAATATTAAAACTGTCCCCTGGCTTTTGTAAATGAGTTAAATATTTGTTTTGCAAGTAAATAAATTAAGCTTAAAAATGTTTTATCAATTAATAAGAGACGATTTTTTAAAAGGATTTGAGGACTCCCAATCTTCAGTAGCTGCTGCGTCACAGACAATAAATAAGCAAGGTAAACAATAAACATGAAAGAATGGGGAAAAATTTCAACGAAAATTCTGCAGGATTGAGTAAACATAATTTCTATAATTTCTTTCTAATCCATCATTTTAAACCGACATTTTTTGTTGTAATATATGGGTTTACTGCATTGCGTACTTTACTGAGAGTATTGCATAATTCATTGTGTGTATAAATATATAATACTTTGCCTTTAGACGTCCACAATCAATTTTAATCAATTGTTTCTAACTAAATATTTATATTTATATATTTAATATGATTAAGTTCCTATTTTAAGTGACTAATGGTGTAAATGTCCCTGTAGCTGGAAAGGAAAAAATTGCGAAAAAAAAGGCAAGACCGGTAAAGAAAACTACTAAAAGAAAACAACTGAAATCTGTCAATAAAAAAAGAAAAGCTAAAGATAGAAAAAAGAAAAATGTAACAAAAAAGCCTGTTAAAGGAAAAAAGAAATTAAATAAAAAGAAATCTGCAATGAAAAAAGAAAAAACAGGGAATCACCAAAAAAAAGAAATTGCAAAAGAAACCATTAAAAAAAGGAAGAAAGGAATTCAGAAAAGCAGAAATTCAGGAAAGATATTTAAAGAAAGAAAAAGGAATAAAGTTAAAAAGCAAATGAAGTTGAAAGCAATAAATAGAATCAAGGGAACTAAGAAAGAAAAGAAGAATGGTAAGACTGTTCGAGCCACTTGTCCTACAGCCTCTTGTGTCTCTAACCAGGTGTGTTTTACTTGTTTTAAATGGATCAAAAATATTAAGTTGAGATTTGAGAACTTTTAAAACGTTGAATAGACATATTGAGTTTGACTCAAAACGTGAAATCAAATGTTTTCGAGATCTAGATCAGAGCTGGAAACTTTAGAATTGGATACCCTTAATTCAGATCGCTTAATCTAAATATCCGCTCTTTTTTCTGTATTTCTAAATATTCCTACCAGAATTCGACCAAAAAGTTTTCTGATTTTTTAGCGCGTCGTAAAATTCCCAGCATCTGATTAGCCACTCTATTGGTTAAATTTTAAACACTGTTCTTGATACAAACTAATGCTCAAATTAATCTTGAGATGAATAAAAAGAGCAAATCAAGCATTTATCTTAAAATTCACAATTATAAGTTTTTCAGCTCTGTTGTTATAAATCCAACAACAGAAGGTGTAATTCTTCTTTTCAAAGTTCCCGAATCTGTGGCCGAATTTAAAGAATTTGAGCGGCGGTTTAAATTTAGGGATAGGCTTAAATATTGTTGGTTCCACTTAAAATTGTATCAAATGTTTCATGATTTAAGCTGGCGCTTAATGTAAACCGGGTTTTGGCAGATTCAAACCGCGGCTCAAATTCTTTAAATTCCATCTCCGGGCTAAAAAAGATGGTTTAGTTTGAAGCAAGGACATGAATCTCGAAGAAACATATTGGGATCCAACTTTAGAAAAATATAAAATTAATGGATTTTTCTTTGGTTAAAATGTAAATATTTTCAGACGACTGCGTTAGCCCTGGAGTTAACTGTAGTGCGGAACTTTCTAGCTCAATACAACCGTATTAGTAAAAAACTGTCGTTAATGAGTAAGTGTTAAAAATAGGCCAGTGATAAAGTTTTATAGAGGTAAAATTCATTAAACCACTTCTTTGTGCGCCGCCAGTTCAAATTTAAAGTTTGGTGGCTCAGCACATAATCCCTTGATCAAGGATAAGTCTTGTTTCATTGTATACAATAATTTATCACTGTCGCATCATATGTGTACAGTGTATACTTAATCTTTGATCTGACTTTCATATTGTGCATTACCCTTTCTACGTAATATTAAGATATTTATTGAGTTCAGATTGTTAAAAAAGGGACTGCAACTGCAATTTTAGCTAAACCTCCATTATATAGTGGTAGGTTCGATTCACAACGGTACCCTACATCCTAATGTGCGATTATTGATGCGGAAGTTAAGATATCGTCGTTTTTCTGGTTTTAACAGTGTTCATTTCTGATAATTTACACGATTGTTTCTCTAGCAGAAATGCGTTTAAGTCCCTTAATAAAGAAAATACAGTCAAAAAATATAACCTCATTTGTTCTAAATGAGCATTTGTTAGTAGTGGGGTGAATCGGACTTATGCACACTGTAAATGGAGGGTTTCTTTTTAAAACAAACTAGACAATTCCCTGTAAATTATCATTCTTTATATTTATATTTAGGTTAATAACAATGATTTGTGTTTTTAGAGAACAAGTTTTTAAAGAAGGATGCTAGAAATGGTACAGCAGGATATTTGGCGGATAGGATTGGAAGCAGCATGGATAGGAATGGTCCACTCTGCAATGGAGATTTTAATAATACGGAAGCATTGTCGGTTAGTTTTTAAACTACTAGACTTAAATTTTAGCGGATTTATCTTTTTAAATTTGCGATTTCAAATATAATAAATTTCGACATTTTTTTCTGGACAAAATTGTTAATCTTTACCCATCCATAAACATTGGATACAACATGTGCGTGATAAAATCAGATATTAATAATATTTCTGATGTTTAGACAATATTTCTGATGTTTTAACAATATTTCTGATGTTTAAACAATATTTCTTATGTTTAAACAATATTTCTGATGTTTAAACAATATTTCTTATGTTTAAGCAATATTTTTGATGTTAAGGCAATATTTCTGATGATTTGGCCATATTTCTGTTGTTTAGGCAATATTTCTGATGTTAAAGCAATATTTCTGTACTTGTAAAAACGTCGGACCCACAAACGTGGGACGTTACTAAGGTTGGAAAGTACAAAGGTTGGACTTACTGACGTCGGACTGACACAAACGTCGAACTGGTATAAACGTTGAACTGGTACAAACGTCGAACTGGTATAAATGTCGGACCAGTACAAACTTCGGACGGGTACATTTATAAGGAAAAACGTCTGACTTTGGTTGAGTTTGAAAAAAAGACTGCATTGTTGTTTAAAGAAATAACAAAATCACTCACTTCTTGTGATAAAAATCCAAGACCACTAAAGAAAGTCTAATATCCTATGAAGATAGCACTGTATATACAACAAACAAAAAGAAGGTGAGTTCTTGTCACAAACTCTAATGTTTTAATACATATATCCTTGCAACCCGATGTTTTAATACCTATATCCTTGCAACCCGATGTTTTAATATCTATATCCTTGCAACCCGATGTTTTAATACCTATATCCTTGCAACCCGATGTTTAATACCTATATCCTTGCAACCCGATGTTTTAATACCTATATCCATGCAACCAGATGTTTTAATACCTATATCCTTGCAACCCGATGTTTTAATACCTATATCCTTGCAACCCGATGTTTTAATATCTATATCCTTGCAACCCGATGTGTTGGACCTTGAATAGTTCAACCTATGTATCTATAAGATCAAACAGTTTAAGGTTGAAAGTATTCAAGGTTAAAATCACCCCGTTGCAAAGATATTGGGATGAGAATATTTTAACTAGTGGCAAGAACTCAGTTCCTTTGAGTAGATTTTATTTAGACCATTCGACCAAAGAAAATAACTTTATAACAAAAATCTTAAAATTTAAATAAAATAATTTTTCCATAGTCTGAAGTGTGTTCTGGTTTTTGTACTGGTCCGATTTTGGTACTGTTCTACGTTTGTTCTAGTCCGACAATTGTACTGGTCCGACGTTTGTACTGGTCCGACGTTTGTACTGATCTGATGTTTGTACTATCCGACGTTTGTAAGTCAATGGTTTGTACCGTCCAAAGTTTGTGTTGGTAACAATATTTCTGATGTTAAGGTAATATTTCTGATGTTAAGGTAACATTTCTGATGTTAAGGTAACATTTTTGATGTTAAGGTAATATTTCTGATGTTAAGGTAATATTTCTGATGTTAAGGCCTATGAGTTGTTGACAGAATTAAACACCTGTGACTCTACCATTGGAACCATCTGTGGTACTTACACTACTGTACCAGAAGCAACATTGGTAAGGAAATTCCCAAAATAAAACAAACAAAAAAGAAATAAAACCTTATATTTTACACACATAATTTCAGGCTGAATTAGATGTTTGTGCTCAGACGATGAGTGTTTATCAGGTGGAATTCAACATTTTCAAATATTGGGCTTCCCTAGCTGTTTCTTGTTTCTACATCCTAATTTAAAAAAAAGTACATTTATTGCTTCTAGATATAATTACATGATAAATAACAAGTGTTTAAAAGGAGAGAAAGTTGAGTAGGTCTTCATTTGCGGATTTCATAATCCTCTTTTGGGGATTTCAACCTCTACAATATTACATAAACATGATATTAGAGAATCATGATATGTTACTATGGGTTAATATTTACATAAATGTTTAGGATAAGAGTAAAGAATGTGGGACCATAATATCATGATATTTTATAATCATGATATTAGAGAGCCATGATATTACATAATCATGATATCAAAGAATCATGATATTATATAATCATGATATGTTACTATGGATTAATATTTACATAAATGTTTAGGATAAGAGTAAAGAATGTGGGACTGCAGCTACAAACTGCAAATGTTGGGAGGAAATGATTGTACTGTCTCAAAGTGTTAAAGCTTGCAATAAAGGTTTAAATATCATAAATAAACTTACCTTACAAAAAATGTTGATTTGAAAGCTTTACCATGACGCTCGATATGATAAAATTAAAAAGTGCTAATCTTTTTCTCACTTTATAGTTTCATTCAATTTTTCATTTCAAATTTAAATGTAAATTTACAAAATATTTGTTTTATATGTTTATATGTTTATTCCTAAAATATATCAACTGTATAAAGATTTTTAAATGAATTGAATTTCACAGACAAGTTTTTCTAAAACCATACTTACAAAGGATAAAAGTTAAAACATTTTTTAGTTTAATTAAGTTTTATTTTTGAATGAACAAAATAGATTGCTTTAATTAATGAATATTCAATAAAAAGTATTTTCTTTTTTTTCACTTTTTGAAATTTTATTTTCTTTTTAGCGAAGGATGTTGAGGACGGATTTAAATCTGATTATAATGGTTGTAAATCCAGTTTCACCAGCTGCAGTAAACTAGAAGATAAAGCTCCAACTCTGATGCAGAAATGTTATACTTCTCCTGTAAGGGAATTTTATTAATTTCCAACCAGTGTGCTTGAAAAACATATTACCCTTTAAACCTTTCTCTTAAAAGTGTAGGAAATAATCTAATAAATTTGGCTTGTCTGGGTCTTTGTTTGTATCCAATAAACGTCAAAACGGCCGAACCGATCGGGCCCAAATTTTTTGTGGGACATCACGTGGCCACAGGGAAGGTTTATAAATGATAAAAAAATTTGTTTTAAAGGTTTTTAATTTTGTAAAAAAATTTAAATTCTTGAAAATCCGCGAATTTTTGTTTTAAAATCCGCAAAATCTTTTTTCTTGTAATGTAAACAAAAAGAACATGTTCACAAATTAAGATGGGCGCGAAGCGCCTTAAAAGCCTAGCTTCTTTACTGCACAAAGTCTCTTTTACAGATAAGTCACGATTAAAGATAACATGGAATATGTCGATCCTTTATATCTATATATATGAAGTAGTTATCTCAGTTTGGCTGTATGTTTGCTTTTATGAATACCTGATCATAACTCATTAATCCCGAGACCAATTTGCCTCACATTTTGATTGGAAAACTTGTTATATCCACTGGAATGTTCTTAGCTTGGATTGAAATCTGTTTAGATCTTCTAAGCAGTCCTTAATGAGACATAGGTTGTGATTTAAAGAAGACACCCAATAAACGTCTCCAGATTATTTAAAAAAACCATATAGACAAACTTTTTACACAAAATTAGCTTTTTGAATTGGAAATTTTGGATTTAAATTCTGTACGGAAAAATTGATGGAAATAAAACATATTTATTTCTCTTAATTTAAATCTTTTAAATCACATCTTTGCCTAGGCCATTTTTTTATTATCTGAGAACTCAAAATAAAAACAAAAGAGTTTCAATCAAGCAATTTGAAATAGATTTGTTTAACCTCATCTGACTTTATTTGGCTTAGGAGAAGCAAATGATCCTGATAAAAACCTACCTGGAGATTCTAGATTCTACGGATAAAGTATCAACCACCGTAGACGCTATTATATCCAGTTCAAACAAGTAAAAACCAACAATTTCATATTTTTTCATTTTCAAAATTTCAAAGAATGCGTCTGTTAACCCTATCCCTGCTGGGGTACTTGAAAACCAGGATATGCTGGGGGGGGGGTCAATTTGACCCCCCTTCTAAATCCCATGTTTTATGTCCAAATATGACAAATGATACATCATTAGAAAGCTCTTGTGCTCTACTTTTAGAATCTGCAAAAAAATTTGCAAATTTGCAAAAATTGAATTTTTTATCGCAAAATCCAGTTATATAGTAAAAATGTTTGCAAAAAAAAATTGTCCAAAAAATGAAAAATTATACATTTTTGAAAAGCCCTTGACCATGCCATTTCAAATATGCAAAAAATTTTGCAAAATTTTGAATAACCTGATTTTAAATCAAGAAAAACTAAAAATGTGCAAATTTCCTTTGACAGGTTATTTTCAAAAAATTTGCAATTTTTTTTTCGCAAAACTTGTGCAATCCTTTTCCTCATGTCATAGGCTTTCCAAAAAGCTAAATTTTATCAAAATCTGACAAGTGAAAGTGGGTCAAAACAAAGATTTAGTTTGTTACAGGCAAAAGCAGTCAATCAGGCACTGTGCCTGAGGACTAAGGCAGTTAGTATTAAAGCCCGGTTTTAGGCCTAAAGGGAGGGCTTTGGGTATGTAAGAAAGGTCAGAAAATTTCAACAGCCTCAGACCAATACTTTTTGAGTTATGTAAAAAAAACTACAGGGGGGGGTCAAATTGACCCCCCCCCCAGCAGGAATAGGGTTAAGGGGGGGATAAGATGAACAAATTTTTATAATTCAAGATAATATTAAAAATTAAATTTTAAAATTTTTTAATTTTCCTGAATCTTATCACTTTTTAAATCTTCTAATAGGGTGTCTGTACTGAACATGTTTTTGCAAAGAGGAGCTCAGGAATCATTGGTGCCTGAAAACCCCCTGAAAATTATAGATTTATTGATATGGGGGGGGGGGGGTGCTGAGCCCCCATGCTCCCCCTTTGTGCACCTCTGTAATACTGTCTATCTAATGCATTGCACTGGTTAGAAAACTATGTATTAAAATATACCACATAAAAATAAAATGCTTATTTTGAAAAAAAAATGTTATGGATTCTCTGTTCATTAAATGGTTTACTTTGCAGGGAGCTTGCAGCCCGGAGGAAACGTCAAACTTCTTCTTCAAAACCCTGTAAAGACTTTTTAACTGCGGTAAGGAAGTTTACATAATGAATATACAGTAATGAATATACAGATTAAAAGTAACTGAACCCTCGCCACAAACTCTGTATTTAATAAGCCATATCTTTGCAATTTGATATGTTAATTTATTTGGGATCACACCCCAAAGTCCTGAACTTCTGTATCTGGAGATCGAGTAGAACTCAGTTATTTTGTGAAGAAAATAAGAAAATACATTAACCTTATCTGAGCTGGAAAATCTTGTATTGTGAATATCGAGATCAATGATTGATCTCCTCTTTTTCTTGATTTGCAAACTAATATAATTTTCATTTGATATATACATAGGAAAGGGTCGAAAATTCAACCAATCAAAGTGTCGATTGCAGAAAACAGCCAATGAGAAGCCGGGAAATTGTGCACGCAACCAATGAGAGAAATCTCATTAATCGGCGCCCAAAGAGAGGATTAAGCAAAAAATCAGAAGTGTCCATTTTGGATATTAATACTTTATAGAGGACGTGAGATCTTATTCTGTTGAATCTTGTGGAACTTGTTTAACGCGGCCAGGCATCGTCTTCCACAAATTAGCGATAGGGATTAAGGATATCTGAAACAAAAGTTCTCAGCTTTGAAAATAGTTTTAAAATATTTTTTTTTATTCTTTAATTTTTCTCAAAAGGTGAGTGCATTCTTAACTGTATTGAGCGGATCCAACCTTGACGGGAAGTCTCCTGAAGTCAGTAACCTGGGAAAATCTGTTGTAGGGATGGTTGTTGAGGTATTTTTATATTATCTAGGACCTTCTAATCGAAGGTTTTTTGTCTATCTTAATTTTTTTAGTTAAAGCCTGCGATTAGGCGTAAATTTAACCAAATTACCTGTTAGTTTTGGTTCGTTCTTCGTTAATGAAATTTTGCTCACAAGAATGTGCTGTGCAGATTTCTTAAAAATTAGGCTAGTTTTTGCCACAAACTCTGGTTTTCTAATCCCCATATCTTTGTAACCTGATAGTTCCTTTACTTACTCTACAGTTCCTTTACTTACTCTCAGTTCCTTTACTTACTCTACAGTTCCTTTACTTACTCTCAGTTCCTTTACTTACTCTCAGTTCCTTTACTTACTCTCAGTTCCTTTACTTACTCTATAGAATCTTTACAAAGTAAATCTTGAATAAATAACTAATTTAAAGGTTTGTTCTGTATCCGAGATTGCATCTCTTCAGACATCAAAGACAAGTTTAACCGCTTCAAGGAAAAAAGTTTCCGAGAGACTTGATAAAATTCAGTCAGTCATTCAAGCTTTAACTCAGGTAACTCATGGGATAAGGATAACTTGAACTGCATAGAGTTAAACTGCAACGAAAAAAACAGGGACCAAAGTTATTGAGTTGCTAGAAATCGTTAAATTAGCTATCGCCAGCTCAAACCCATTAGGATTCAGGTAATTAATTGGAGAATGAATCCTTCAGGATTTGAACCGGCAGTAGGTAGTGTAATATTTAAAGTATAAGTGACTCATGCTAAAAACCTCCCCCAGCCTCACACCTTTATCTCTTTGTTCTTTTAATGAATGCGGAGTAGTTAACCTGAACTGATTCATTAAGATTCAACAGTGCACCCTAGACCTTTGAACCGAACAGACGTATGAGTTAAGCTCCGTTTGTTCAACCAAAGGCTAGGGGACGGGCACTTCATGGACAGCTCTCAGNAGTGCAAGTACGCTACTGCATTAAAAAACTAGATTTGTGGGTAAAATTTATCTGTGTTACTTTGTTAAAGTTGATTGAGTAAGATTATCTGCGCGAAGCGCCAAAATTTTATTTACATTTTTCCTTTTAATTGTAATCATGTACATGGAGAATGGAGGTAAAGTTACTAAACGGGGATGTTTGTGTGTTCGGTGTGAAAATAATTTTAATCTCAAACAAACTAGAAAAAGTAAAAATCACTTTTTCGCACTTAATAATACCCATTACAATGACATAAGTAGATAGTTTTTTTACAGAATAAATGTAGTCAATGTAATTAGTAAATAAATCATAAAAGTGTCCACTGTAACCTACCTGAAAGCATTTTCATCCACACCTCTTTATGTCCTTAATCTTCTTCTTTATGATGAATATTCTGCAAAACACAGCAACTATAGGGTATGAATTAAGAAAGGTGAAAGGTGAAAGGTGGTAAAGGAAGCCTTTTATTTTAAAGAGTTTGTTAATCCCAGAAATTATTGGGAAATTGAAATGAATCCCAACTACCCATAATTTGAAATACATCATGAATAAGGTTGTACATGGTCTACGGGTGTGGTAAAAAAATAATTTCGATCGAAACTTTTTTAAAACGATGGTGTTAGATTTATTAAAATGTTTTATTAATTTTTGAATATATTATATACAATATATTATGTACAATATATACAATATATTATATACAATGAAACCAGAAAAATATGAAATTTGAAGACGACACTAAGGCTGATGTTAAAACTTTAGAATTGAGCGATGTAAACAGATCAAACTATAAAAGTTATCGATCTAATTTTTTTCAGTGAGCTGGCCTTGAAAAATTTGGCTATGATCATGCATTTTAACCCTATACCTATTCTCTAACACCTTTTCTAGGTGGTGGGCGCGGGAAGCCCCCCCCCCCTCCCCCGGCTATACATAGATTCAGACCTCCAAGCCTTTATAGGGTTAATACGTGATTATAAAAGTAACAAGTAAAATTATTTGCTGTGTAACATCATAAAATACACTTAATTATTAATTTAATGTCGTCTTCCTATTCCACAGCTTTTTGGTTCTATACTGTATGTACCACGGGAATGTTTATTGTTATTACTTGTTTTAACAATTCTAGATTAACAGGGCTGGCGTTAATAGGGAAAACATAGTTGGAAAACAATGCTCGGTACCAAAACTAGCAAAACTTAAAAATAATGATATTGCAAAAACCATCAATTAAAAATTATAAATTTTCAGCAAGAAAAGCACGACTCTCAAACAAAGGTTTGAAGGGTACCGTTGTGCATCAGACTTGTCATTCTTAAAATGTCGGGCACTTGAAATTACCAGGAGAGGCCTTTTATGCTAGATTTATTGATTTTAATAAATGCATATATACCCTGCATACTTTCACATCAACTTATCTTGAGAAATGAAGGAAAGCACTTAAATAATTACATCTACATTAATATTATATTATATTATAGTATATGGGAGCAATATACAATATAAACATGTTGTGTAATAATGCTATTTCTTATGAATTATTCGTAATTTCTATTTAAAATTGTTTATCAATAATTATAGATTAGTAAAAATGATTTATACAACATAGATCAAGACATTTCAACAAATATATAATTGATGTTTTTTAGACAACAGTTTCTGTTTCATCTGTGGTGCTTGCCACCTTCCCTATACCAGACAAACTGGGTGTCGTACAACCAACCACAACTGCTCAGACTACAGCTTCTACAGGTCCGACTACATCTGCTAAAGGTACTACCACGGCTGCTCAAAATCCAACGACAACCGCCCCAGGTCCGACTACAGAAGCTCCGGGTCTATCTACAGCAGCTCCAGGTCCAAATACTGTTGCTACAGGTCCGACAACAGCTGCTGTAGGCCCAACAACAACAGCTCCAGGTCAAACATCAGCAGCTTCAGGTCCAACAACAGCAGCTCCAGGTCCAACAACAGCAGCTCCAGGTCCAACAACAGCAGCTCCAGGTCCAACAACAGCAGCTCCTGGTCCAACAACAGCAGCTCCAGGACCAACAACAGCTGCTCCTGGTCCAACAACAGCTGCTCCAGGTCAAACAACAGCAGCTCCAGGACCAACTACTGGTACTCCAAGTCCATCCACTACAACAGTAGCTAATTTAACTACCACAACTGCTGTTGTTACTGAATTGGCAATGCCTGTGAAGGTCGTTTTCTCTCTAGTTTCTGTAACAATGGTCGGATGATTTGGTAGAACAATCTTGAATGGCAAAAAGTTAATAGATTAAAATTCTTTAAAGCACATTATAAAGCTAATTTTATTTTTGAATTTTTCAGAAACGATGAATTGATCAACCTTGAAATTAATTTGAAATAAAGAAAAAAAAAATAGGAATTAATTAATTGATCAAATGTGTGTCAAGAGACGTTTAATAATTATGCAATTACTTTATTCGTAAATTTCTGCCAAGTTGTAAAAAAAATATTTATTTTGCTAATTTCAAAATTTCAGCATACTTCTAGTAATAAAAAGGTGTTAAAATGGCCTTGTAAATTTTTTTACCAGCTGTAAACCGGAACTAACGATTTGTATTTATCTCCAAATTTCTAAATTTCACCATCTCGAGAACAGGAAAATCCGCAAAAAATCTTTGGCTTTATACATGATGTACGAATAAAAAATATTAAGCATTGAAAGCAAATACTAAGATTATTAATAGAACAAGGAGTGCGAAGCGGTATAGTATATAGAATAAGAAAATAAGAAGAAAGAAATGTCGTCTTTTAAAAACATTTCTCGAAAACGTTAACAACATCATTTTATAAAAAAAACTGCAAAACAGGGCCGGGGGAGCCTTACGATATTTTCAAAGGGGGCGGAAATAATTTGAAAAAATAAACGCAAAGCTCGCCGAAATTATGTCTACTACCAGGGGCGTAAATAAGGATTCTGGAAGGGGGGGGGGGGGTAAATTTGTTTAATGTGGTTTTAGTTGGGTTTGATTTGCATTTTCCACTCATTTATGCATTTACAAACTTCATCAAATAAAGGCAATTTATTTCCTACCTTTCATGGCTTTCACCTTGTTTTATATTCTTCAGTATTGTCATTAATTTTACATTAACTACAAAGATCTGTAAAAAAAACTGAATTTATTTTAAGTAGCATAAAAAATAGTTTTACGTTAAGAGGAAAAAGATGTAACTTTTTTAAGTCTGTAGAAAAGCTACTCTGCAAAACTTTGAAAACATATTGTCTAATATACGCATCTGGTGGCAACATTCGAGTTTTATAGACTTTTTTAAACACCATATTTTTCTTATCCTGTTTAAATTATGCTATTCAAAATGCCAGTTAATTGATGAATGATTTTTTTACCAGGTAGGACGAAAACAAAATTAACGATTCTTTCTTTGTTTTCCAAAAACTGATCCACTCCCTTACTGTAACCCTATAACTGCGGAAAATAATAAAGTTTAGAATTGGCAATTGTTGGCGGAAAAATGGGTTTCTCCGTCTGGCGGGACAATTGTAAAAGAAGTTATTTTGACATTAATGATACTCCAGTCCCGGTTCTCAAATTAATTTCTGGTCTCAGCAAGATTATATATCTTCATCTTAACTATACACCATTTATAGGTCATTTTTAATGTCTCAGGAACTAAGCTGTTCCGACCGTCGTAATATAAAGCTTAATGTAGATAGATGGATAGATATATATATAGATAGATATATGGATAGATAGATAAATATATAGATAGATAGATAAATAATTATTCAGTGTGTTCTCTATATTTCTATTGTTGTGTCTAGGATATGAATAGACTGAGCTCTAGAGCGACCCTAGTGCAAGGCTGGGTATAGGACATATAGAAATTTTCCTTTGTTCTCGGATTATTCGATATTCATTTTTATCCCCCCCCCCCATCTCGAAATTATTGTCAAATATTTAGCAGATTTAGGTCAAGGATTTATTCTTCCTCATGGATGACGTAAACTGTTCGTATACGTTCCTTGTAACTGGTACCAGTATGCAACATTACCCGTACCGGTACCAGTTGTACCGGTACACAACATTACCGGTACCAGTTGTACCGGTATGCAACATTACTGCTATACCAGTTGTACCGGTATGCAACATTACTGCTATACCAGTTGTACCGGTATGCAACATTACTGCTATACCAGTTGTACCGGTATGCAACATTACCGGTACCAGTTGTACCAGTATGCAACATTACCTGTAGCAGTTGTACCAGTATGCAACATTACCGGTACCAGTTAGTGACATCGTAGCCTCTCCCGATTCAATTTTGAGCAAAAAGCTCTTCCATAAATGGAGTTATGGTTGAAAACATGGAAAAATGAAAAGAAATGAATCAAACGTGAAAGGAACTGAGTTTTTGCCACACACTTAAATTTTCTAATCCCTATAGTGTAAACCTTTGATATTTCAAACTTAAGCCTTTGATCAAACAGAATTTATAATTTGAAATATCACATTCACAGGTCTACTACATCGGGTTGCAAAGTTACAGATAGATTAAAAAAATTAGAGTTTCTAACAATATTTTTAATAGTTAATAGTTTTAATAGTTAATTTTATTTTTATTTCAAATAATATTTTTAAACCCTCCATTTGTTCTTCCCTTAGAAATTTGAAAGTTGAAAACACACGATAACAATAAGATTTTGAGAACAGCAAAGATAAAACAATAATAATGGAAATTATTTATTTATCAATCATTTTCAGACTTTTTGATGGGCGCGCATATCAGCCTCATCAATGATAAAAGATATGTTTATTGTTCATGTTTAATATTGGAGTGGTGTGCAAATCTGGAAGCTATTGTTGTCAAATTTGAAAAGAGTATAAATAAAGAAAGTTCTCTCCGACTTAAAGGGAATGTCAGCGTAATTTCAAGTGATCATCTTTTTAAAAAGTTGCATGACCTATTTTCTTTATTTAATGCGAGTTTTATTCTGTCATTTTCTCTGCCTATAAATCCGCAAGGTAAATTTTAGAGAACCCACAATTGAAAATAATCAATTTTAATTTGAAAAAATTGAGAACATCTCCATTGTACTTGATCAGACTAAGGTTACACAAATATTATTATTTCTGCACAAAACATAACAATTTTGAAATTTAGTTAATCCGTTTTGATCTCCCCAGAAACTAGACAATAGTATTAAGTTGTATAAACAACTAAATTTTGATGATTTAATGAAAACATTGAAGGAATTTCACAAACTCACTTCTTCAACAATTGTTATAAATCTTTATACGCCTCATTAGGGATTCAAAAGATTACAAAAATGAGTTTATCCTCAAGAATTGGACACTTACGAATGGAAGGAAGAGGATTGCAAGGTGGATCGGACGAGAAATTGTGGTGGCTCGTCATTCTCCCCTCATTCATCTTTTTATGGAATTATATCAATGGAGGATGAATATTTAAATTCTTTATCTTGCAGACTTCTTAAATAAATTAGAATTTACTATCAAGAAATAAAATGAATCCAAGAACTAGGGTTTCTAATCGGAATTCCATTGCGCGGAATTGTGCGCAATGATTGCTTCCGCTTGCCCCATTTAATTGCGCGGAATTGCGCAATAATTGCGCACAATTAAGCAATTAAATATTCGCGGAATTGAGTGAAACGGAATTGCTTTGCAAAGGCTTTTCAATCTAAAAATCATTAATTTTGAATTGTGACTTACAAATTTATGCAGCATGATACAAGATTGGAAATGGATAAAAGTTATCTCTGTAGATTTTAAAATAATCTAGGGTCATTTGAAACTCTTCGATATCTTTAAAATTTTAAAGTTTCTTGTGGTTTAGCTACTAATTAACAGATTAATATGGTACATTTTATTGGTTAAAATTGTGTTTTTTTTGGGGGGGGCTACAGTGAGAACCAGAAAACTATGGTACGAAGACAAAATTACAGTTTATTAGATGTCGTTTCAAACCAAACATTATATTTGAAACTTATTTAATCGCTTGTTCAGTAAAAGCAGAACTGCAGAGTCTAAAAATCTTCTTCCTTTGCCAGAGTTTTCTGGTTTTTATGCTTTATATGAATATTATAAAATTAGAAATTAAGTTTAAATTCAATTTTCAGCATTTAAGACTGAAATGTAAGTAAAACTCAGTTTATTATATGCCCCTATCAAAGTTTAAGTTGCTTTTTTGAAACACAATGTTGTCGAACGGAACTCCGCAATAATTAATTGCATTAAATTTAAATTGAATATTCTTAAAAGGTTGAAACGCAAACGCAAGAAAGTTGGATGGAATTACGCGTTTTGTCGCGAAAATGCGCGCGATTCCGTTGCGTTTATTGCGCGCAACTATTACGGAAATGCGCGCAGTTAAATTTACTTGCGCGCTAGTTAAATCCACTTGCGTTGAAACCCGTAACAAAAACATAATTGGAATTTTAAATTAATCTAAAAACAAACTATGAAGCAACTAAAACAGAAATGCTTGAAATTCAAATAGCATCAGGAACGTTCAACAAAACAAACCAACTTTTTTAAAGATGGGTGTTTTGATGATGGGCGGTATCAGGGTGGATATCGAGAAGAATGGAAGGTTTTAGGATGAAAATTCAGAAGAATTGAAGGTTTAAGAATTGATGTTGAGAAGTATGGCAGGTTTTAGAATGAATATTATGAAGAATTAAAGGTTTAAGAATTGATATTGAGAAGTATGATAGGTTTTAGAATGAATATTATGAAGAATTGAAGGTTTTAGGATGAATATTAAGAAGAAGGTTTAAGAATTGATATTGAGAAGTATGGCAGGTTTTAGAATGAATATTGAGAAGGATGGAAGTTTAAAGATTGGATATTGAGAGGGATGGAAGATTTAAGGATAAATACTGAGAAGATTTGAAGGTGTGAGAATTGATAATTTGTTTGCCTTGAAAATTGGACTTTGAACATGAAATACAACCTTATATCTTTAATCTTTACTCTTTATCCATGCATTTATAGGAATTATTATAAGTTAAAGTGTTGAACTAGGATACAGAGAAAACATTAAAATAGTCATCTGAGAGACTGAGACCTTTAAAGGATTAACTCCAGGATAAGGATTTGGTATTATAAAACACTAGACCCTGTAATACCGGGTGAATAAAAACCAAGATAATACAGATGAATGAAAACAGTCTTACCATTATTTTAAACAATGCTCACGAAATTTTGTCATAGTTTATCTTTTAGTTATTGATAAATTGCTGTTTTTTTATGTTCCAAAAATTACATTTTCCTTGTTTACTACATTTTTAAAAATATTTGTAAGTTTGGAAAAAAATGAGTTGTACAAGTTAAAACTGTGTTTTCTATTCACTCTGTTTATGGTATAAAGGTAGAAAGT